CTCATTACCCTACTCTGATTTGATTGACAATAAATTAAATTCATTTTCCCCAAGTTGAGTCTGTGATGGTAGTTGCTGAGTGATCTCCCTGTCCTTATCTTGACCCACGAGCCTTTCGTTATACTCTCTCTTCCCTGTCCAGCTGAGGAAGGGAGTGATAGAGGGGCTCTGGTGGGCACCTGGTGTCCAGCCAGGGTCAACCCACCACTTAATTTTATCATAATGAAACCCAGAGGTTTCAAATATATTTGGAGTGTGACTGTCTTAGGCACAATAAAAACGTTCCAAGTTTTGCTGTAAAAGCATTTTGGTAGCAGAGCTGTTGTTAAGAAACGCTTCAGTTGAAGGCAGTACTTTAGCTGACATGTTATTCCAGCCCCTTACTGTCCAATGAAAGAAGCTGTATCACCAAAACTTGTTATTATAATTGCCATCTGTGTGACGAGATTATGCAAGCACAGCCAAAATTTCACCAAAAGCTCACATGTCTGAAAGCAAGAGCTCTTGTCAGCAGAATCTGGATGCATGAATCTGGCTAGAGAAAGAGGTATTTCCTTTCTTTCCCCTCATATCCTGCCCTCACACAGACCAGATAGATGGAAAGTGAGAAGGCAAGGGATGTTATTATCCCATTTAGCAGATAAGGCAGTGAGACAGCCAGATTAAGTACTTTGCTGCAATTTACACCGGAAGGATGTGCTTAGCCAAGAAATCAACCACAATAGCTTGGACACCTGCCTTAACCACCCTTCCCTCTTTGCCAAATCAGAAGTGCCCATTCTCATTTCAGTGTCTAAGTCTGAGAGGTAGACAAGAAAATTAATAAAAATCATAATTAAATGTGAAATAATGAAGGGAAGATGTAGAGAAAGGAAGGGAAAAAAATCAGAAGCAAAACAGGCAGGGAGATGCAGAGATGAGTGCAGGCATGTGTGGGAGAGGCTGGGAAATAAAAGCCAGAGATAAACAAGATTTAAGAGTGACTTTAGGCAAATGATTTAATATTAAATGTTGGAAAACTTAAACAAAAGCTACCTGAAAATGAAGAAGTGAGAAAAAAGGACAAAAAGGAAGTCAATGGGAATGCTTCATAGATAAGTTTAACCTACAATCAGTCTTGTAGCATTAATTTTTCAAAGTATATTGAAATAACATTTGATGGCTCATTAAATATATAAAGTAGCCATGCTGCATCTGCTAGACTTTGTGTTCCCTATTTAGAAGATTTACATGAAAACATGATTTTTGTTCTGAAACTGATAGTGCAGATTGTTCTCATGCCAGTGATTTCATACTGAAAAAGAGAAAGATAACATAGATAGACAGACAGACCAACCGATATAAGCAAAACTGAGCATTTGTAGGATTTTTTTTTCATATTTGCCTAGGACCCATCACTAGCACTGTAATACTTTTTACATCAATAATAAAGGATCTAATTTATATTGATCTTTTAGAAGCTTATCAGCCTCAAGGTATAAATACCAATGTCCACGATATCTGGATTTTTGAACATGCAGCCTGAAAAATGCAAAGATCCTCCAGTCATTTCTTTGGTCAGGATATCCTCTTGTTCTTTTCTGAATGTTATTTAGCCATCTTTCTTCACCTCTTTGTAACGTCTGCATTAGGTACTTGAAAAGGAACTTTAAAAAAAAAATCCTATTACACATAACTATATGTCCATTTGTCCCCTAATTCCCATTTGTTAGCAAAATATGGTGTTGAAAAATCTTAGTTATCAGTGTTTCACCCTCAGTTGGAATAACTTTAAAAGGTCACAGATACAGAAATGGTTTACAGATGAATAAAGAAATCCTAGAGGCCTGTTTGAGAACACTGAAAAACAGTTCAGTGTAGAGCGGGAATGAAGAATTGCAAAGATACCAAGGTGGGAAAAGAAAACCAGACATTTTCCTTTCATAAATACAAAAATGAGAGCCAATTCAATGAAACTGAAAGTTAGCATATTTAGAACACTAAAGGCACGGGGGGGAGGTGCTTCAATGCAAAAGTATAGAAATCACTATCCCACCACTATAGTTCACATATATAAATAATACAGTTTTCAACATAAATGTATCTAGGCCTAGGCTTTAATTTCAAATTAACACAGTTATAAACTTCAAAGCATTTATAACTGTTTTTCAGTGGTTCAGTAGTCTTCCAGTCATTTATGGCTTTAAGTGGTCAGTTAACAAGGCAAAAGACATAATCCTCTACTAAGGATTTCAGCCTCATAAACATATTGCAGCTGTGGATGGTATACTGAGTGAAACTTCCACTTGGATCAAAGGGGAAAGCCTGTGTTCTAAAAACTATTTAATCTTCATTTGAAGATCTAACATGCTTTTGAAGATCTTAATTTTGTATTTACCGTTTTGAAAAATACTTGCTGTGGAGGATTAGGATTCGGTTCTTTCTTAGCATGATTGTTACGAACTGGACAAGTGGTTGCTGGGAATATGTTTTGACAATTCACAGAAATGCTTTGGACTGCCTACACAAGAAGTAGTTTGTTCACTGAAACGGCCCCATTTATTACAGAAGTTTTCAGTGCACATCTTTCAGTATTTTCTTCACAGTTGACTAAGCATCAAGAAAGAACACACTGCAACAAACTCTCGGCCATCTCTTCATATAATGAGACCTTCTAAAGTAGATGCTAATGTAGTGCCTTACATTTATACCAAGAAGTTGCTGAAATAATTTACGCACACAGCAAATCAATCACTGTAAATGGTATTTAAAGAATAGCTAGCTTTGTGGAAATAATAAGTGGCTAGGGTTTGAACAGCATGATTTATTGTGTCATTTTGTTTGCTTTAAAAAGGTTAATGGCAGAAACCTCCTTTCAGTTGACTTTGATCGAACCACAAAGACAGAAAAGATCTACGATGACCACCGTAAATTTCTGCTGAGGATTGCCTACGACACGTCGGGGCACCCCACCCTGTGGCTACCAAGCAGCAAGCTGATGGCTGTCAATGTTACCTATTCATCCACAGGTCAAATAGGCAGCATACAGCGAGGGACAACTAGTGAAAAAATAGAGTATGATGGACAGGGAAGGATAGTGTCTAGAGTGTTTGCTGATGGGAAAACTTGGAGTTACACATATTTGGAAAAGGTAAAGAACACTCAGGTTTTAAAAAAATGCTTTGAAAGTGCTGAAATTCTGCAGCATCTGACTGCTGCATGCAAAGCAAAAACAGGTAGTAGAAGCACATTTCAGTTATTCTAAGTATCAACATGTAATTCCTAGGGGAATGTTTTATACAATAGATACATAATCACACTGTAGCTAATTGCTAGGAATTGATGTCTTTTTAAATTATTCAGGCCACTGACTAACAAGAAGCATCTGTATTTACCTTTTATCTTAACACTTAAAATAAGGTACAAGGACTAGATCCCTGCAGTGTAATTCAGTTGAAAATAATTTGTTTGTAAATTCTTCACTGTTGTTTTTTTCACTACCAAGAAAAGCTCTTGTTTCTAAATAGTTACAGTTCTCAATTTGTACTTGCTGTATGTTAGAGCATCAAAATAAATGATAGGCAAAAGATCAGGAATCTTCATTATATACAACGATTGCTGAATGATAGCTCTCCCTCTAGAAATATCTGTGAAAATCCCCCTTGTGAGATCTCTTGCCTGCTATGCAAAAAGAGAATACATTTCTTTCTGGGGTTTAAATATATTTCTGTTGAAGCTGTTGCTCAGCAAATACTGTTTACTAGTCATTGCAGACATAATTTAATCAAGACCTATGATACATAATAGCCACGCATCAGAAAAATGTCAGAATAATTCTGAGTAGCTCCTTTTGATATAAATAATCAAACAATTGTTTTGCCTATGTCTTAAAAGCCTACAGAACAAGAACACAGTATTCAGGGATCTCAGGCTATTCAAATTCTTCAAAATCATCTCTAATTGTAGGGAAGAAATTGTATCTCCCATATGTTGTTCTTCTCGTGAGTTAATGGCTTTAAGACAGTTTTACTTCTTCCCATATTAAACATGACTTATCTGAATCCATTGACAATCTGCTGTTTAGCTGTGAGTGCTTGATAAAAGAGTGATACAGTCATAACAAGTAGCAAATTATGAATGTGGAACTACTAATTACAGAACCCCTTACAATTAAGCATCCAAGTAAATTAGGCAGGGAGATGTTAACAACATGTAAGGTCAAGGATAACTCAATTAAAGAGGAGATAATTTTCTCAAGTGGGAATGTCACATTTTTGTGAAGAAACAGTATCAGTATATGGGGGGGGGCCAAGTACTCCACCATTTGTCACATGGTAAAAATCTGTTCTTAATTTTCAGTCAATGGTTCTTCTGCTTCATAGCCAACGGCAGTATATCTTCGAATATGATTTGTTGGATCGGCTTTCTGCTGTCACCATGCCCAGTGTTGCTCGTCATACCATGCAGACTATCCGCTCCATTGGCTATTACCGGAATATATACAACCCCCCAGAAAGTAATGCTTCTGTTATAATGGACTACAATGAAGAAGGGCAGCTCCTTCAAACTGCGTTCCTGGGGACAAGCCGAAGAGTATTATTCAAGTACAGACGGCAGACCAAGCTCTCAGAAATTTTATATGATAGTACAAGAGTTAGTTTTACTTATGATGAGACAGCAGGAGTCCTGAAAACAGTAAACCTCCAAAGCGATGGTTTTATCTGCACCATTAGATACAGGCAAATTGGCCCACTGATTGACAGACAGATTTTCCGCTTTAGTGAGGATGGAATGGTAAATGCCCGATTTGACTACAGCTATGACAATAGCTTCAGAGTGACTAGCATGCAAGGTGTCATCAATGAAACCCCATTGCCTATTGATCTCTACCAGTTTGATGATATCTCTGGCAAAGTTGAACAATTTGGAAAATTTGGAGTTATATATTATGATATTAACCAGATCATTTCGACAGCTGTAATGACCTACACAAAACACTTTGATGCACATGGCCGCATCAAGGAAATTCAATATGAAATATTTCGGTCATTAATGTATTGGATTACAATTCAGTATGATAACATGGGACGAGTGACAAAAAGAGAAATTAAGATTGGGCCATTTGCCAACACCACGAAATACGCTTATGAATATGATGTAGATGGTCAGCTCCAGACAGTTTATCTGAATGAAAAAATAATGTGGCGATACAACTATGACCTGAATGGCAACCTCCACTTGCTCAACCCCAGTAGCAGTGCCCGTTTGACACCACTTCGCTATGACCTGAGAGACAGAATAACTCGACTAGGTGATGTTCAGTACCGATTAGATGAAGATGGATTTCTGCGTCAGAGGGGTACTGAAATCTTTGAATACAGTTCAAAGGGCCTTCTTACTCGAGTTTATAGCAAAGGCAGTGGGTGGACGGTGATTTACCGTTACGATGGACTTGGACGACGAGTTTCCAGTAAAACTAGCCTTGGACAGCATCTCCAGTTCTTTTACGCAGACCTTACCTACCCAACCAGGATAACTCATGTATATAACCACTCAAGTTCTGAAATCACATCTCTTTACTATGATCTGCAAGGACACCTTTTTGCCATGGAAATTAGCAGTGGAGATGAGTTTTACATTGCATCAGACAATACAGGGACACCACTGGCTGTTTTTAGTAGCAATGGTCTCATGCTTAAACAAATTCAGTACACTGCTTATGGAGAGATCTATTTTGACTCTAACCTTGACTTCCAGCTGGTAATAGGATTCCACGGAGGCTTATATGACCCACTGACCAAGCTAGTCCACTTTGGAGAAAGAGATTATGACATACTGGCAGGCCGGTGGACGACACCCGATATTGAAATCTGGAAGAGAATTGGGAAGGATCCGGCTCCTTTTAATTTGTACATGTTTAGAAATAACAACCCAGCCAGTAAAATACACGATGTGAAGGATTATATCACAGGTAAAAGAAGGTTACTTAATTGCAAGACTGTCTCCCACTTGCTCAAAAATTCACCTTTCTGTGTTCTCATAATCTGGAATCTGATTATCTGGGTTATAGGCTGAGGATATTTTCTGAGGAAGGTTAGTAAAGAAACTCTGAGTGAAGACAATTGTTCAGAAAAGTACTTGGCGTTTAGAACCAGATCAACAAAGTGATTTTAGCTTGGGGTGCTGGACCTATAGTCATCCCATTTAGACTGGAATTCACAATTTTGGTGAAGTACCTAAATATGTCCTATGCAGAAGAGTTCTTTATGAGGAAGCATTAAGCACTTAACAATGAGAATAATTACAGCAAACATGCTTAACCAGGAATAGTGAAATAGCAAATGGGAGATCTTGAAAATATCTCATTTAGCTTTAGACGTTGATTTAGGTACCTGCGTAAGAGATTAAGATCCACAGGCCATTATTTGCAATTATTATTGTGTCCTACACAGTCCTTACAGTGCTTTAATATTGGACTGTTGACCCAAAAACATTATTCGGAGCATCTCAGTATACAGAGGGATTGGGTTTTCCAAAGTACATTTTGGGGTACCAGTGGAATACATCTCTTCCTCTCCCACTGACTGAACTGTAACACAAGGTGCCTCAGCTAGAGATCTCAGTGCATTGGGAGAGGAAAGAGGAGCCCTAGGTTCTCCTTCCAATACTGTTATGTATTACCCAGAGCTCTTTTAATGAAAAAAATAGATTCCTTGAGCAAGTACAAGAGTAAGAACCCCTCAAGACCGTTCATGAGAATCTCCTTACGTGTGGATTAGAGTCAGGCTTCTTCGTGGCTCTGGGCTACTGAGCAGTAAAAAGTGATATTCATTGACCAAAAAAGCCCAAAGACAAGAGGGAGTGAGACGGTAGGGTAGCAAGTGCAAGAGGGGTTGTTCTGTGACCAATTTAACTCATTAACATGGCAGTAAATATTCACTGGTAATTGGTTGGTATTTTCCATCCAGGGTAGGTTTTTGCAAGGCTACTAATGTAATTTGGCTAAGAAAGAGAAGTCCAATAAGCTCCAGGGCCAGCACAAAGTAATGAGTACACAGCCAGGAACAGGGAAGGAGTAGGATATAGAATAAGGAGCGTGATTTTCTCTTCTGGCAACAAAAAGCTGCTAATGTGCCACTTCTTGTATAACTGAGTTCTTAACGGAACCTATATGCTTTTTGTGGGTCTAGAGTTAGTGATGTGTAGTGTCTTCCATTATTCTACATACAAAAAAATCTGATTGCACGTCACCAAAAGCCTCTGAAAAAAGCATTGCTCAGATACATTTGAATTTTCATATTTGAATAGATGTAAATAATCCGAAATATTTTACACAGACAGTGCCAGACTACAGGAGGGGCTCAGCCCCACTTACTTAACAGGCTGTGAGACTACCACTCAGAAAAGCATCCTGGGAATCAAGTGGGTTTGCATTAATTTAACAAACAGCAGCTATTAACAGGGTTGCTAACGGGCTGCCTGGGAGCAAGGATAATAACAGACCTTTGAATCTGTCCTCTTTTAGCAGCATGTGCTGTAGGGGATGCAGTTGCAATCAGATTCTTTGTGGCATTGAAAATGATGCACTTAGTTCAAAAATTGCCCTCAAAATACAGTTGTAGTTCTTTTCTTACAATCTTTGATGTATGGAATACATAGGCTCACACTACTCATATAAGGTTATCATTACAATGAGTAATTTGGCTGACTGGCAGTTTTAGATGCAGAGCCTCATGAGGTGTATCATTTATCTGGAAAGGTTAGAAATTATTTTAAGGTAAATATTTTTTATTCTTTTAACATTTGGAAAAATTTGGTTCCTTGTTCCACTTATTTGGGGTTTCCTTAAATGAAAACTACTAGACTTGGTAAGGAGCACTCTGCCAACTTCTGCTAAGCTTAGTATTTGTGAAAGATAGGGTAGAAAGACAGAAACACGGCAGATCACCCATTCTTGCCCAACAATTGTTAACTAATTAATTGTTGGCATCCCTAATTTATTTATTTTTAACAGAACATAAAATGTATCATAAGTAATGTTATCTAATGCTAATTTAGTATCCTGTCTGCTTACTGTGATACATTAGCTTTTAATTTCATTGGTGCAAATTCATCTTGGAAGAGGGGGAGCTATCTCTTGAATCAACATAAAATATCTGTCAAATCATTTAAAAAGTGATTGACCATATAGGTGTTATTTCAGGGGTAGTTTGAAGACATTACAATAACACATAGGTAACAAAAGGACAGGATGTGCTCTGCAGTACTTTTTCTTTCTTGCTTTATGTATTGATGATGAAGGTGCAACATAGAGCGTGTCCAGCCTGACCATGAAATCCCAATTAGTTTAGGCTATATTAGAAGGAAATCTCACTTTGATTGTGCTCCTGTAGTTGTTCTGGAAGTCACTGTGGCCTTCAGAACTGCTGAAACCTGCAATGCCTTTCAAATGAGCATAGTGCAATTCTTACATAGAACAGAAGTTTTCTTCTAAGTTTAGAACTTCAAGTTTACTGCATAGGCTTGTTATTCTAGCTGTAGTACAAATCTAAATCCATCCATGTCAAAACGAAGACTTCTGAATAATTTTCATGTTACAGAAGGAAACCAACTATGCCAAAAAACTATTGCATGTAAAAATTGGATGATTGCAAAATACAGAACAATTCTAATATTTTTCGGGGGGGGGGGGACAGCTGGCTGGTGACATTCGGCTTCCATCTGCACAATGCCATTCCTGGTTTCCCTGTTCCGAAATTTGATTTAACAGAACCTTCTTATGAACTTGTGAAGAGCCAACAATGGGAGGACATACCAGTAAGAAACAAAACTAAACATACAAACAGAACAAGACAGAATGTTCCCTTCTATTCAGATCTCATTAGGCACAGCTAATCCTGACAGGATTACTTCCTAAATTGAACCTGAACAGTGCTTTTCAAACCTCAAATTATATCTACTTTCAAAAGAATTTAAGAAATTATAGATGGTGTTTTTTTCTTACAGATTTGCTAAGTTAGGTAAGCTTTTGTTTCCTTTCTGCAATAATAAAAATGTAGAAAGACAATAATGAATGAAAAGAAGTTTAAGACCCTTTAAAGATGTCTAAGTTTCGTAGCAGAAACTGCAGAGATTAGATTTGTACTAACACTCTGCCTGAAGGCAGAACCTGAACACTGTAGTAAAAAATAGACTGTGAAATAAACAGAAGAACAGGTGATATAAATTATGCATACCAGGCACCACTACAATTTTACTTGTCTTTAATATTAACCATGTTTTATATGTAAAGATAAAATATTGAAAATGAAATTACCTGAGGTAAAACCCATTACATTACATAAAACCAAAACTCAGGTGCTTGTGAAGTTCTTTGGGAGGAAAAAAATGAACTTCAGTCCTGAAAACCTGCTGCAGTTTTAAATTATGGAAGAAATAAATGTGGAAGTTAAAATCTAAATCTGCTATTTAAGAAAATTATATTTACAAATCAAACTTACTCAAAGATCAGAGCTATGCCCTCAAAAATCCTGCAATTCTCAGTTAAGAAGGAAGTGTTAAGACATACTAAAATGGGTAAACCCATTGTGAGCAGTCAAAACCAGATCTCTTTTTAATAGAATCATGCTTTATGAGATTAAAAGAGGATATGATCTTGAAGAACCATACAACTTAATTTAGACAAAAAATCATTAGAAGGGGGGCCCAGCAGAAGGGAGCATATGGAAGCTAATTTTGCATGCATGAAGTCACCTGCTATATTTATTTTTTTAATAGCCAGGGACTGAGTAACAGGAAAAGACCTTAGAGCACAGCATGAGAATAGCATCTCCCATGAACAGCAGAAGCAGTGAAGGAGGAGCATTTCAAGTACTTGTGGCAAGGTGGTTGTATCAGGAGATAAGAGACCTGTCATCAGGCATGGCTGTGAAGAACTATCAGAGGTTGTTTATTTAGATCTCAAAGGCTAAAGAATGCAATTATCCACTAAAGGCCAGCAAAGGCATATCAGGAGAAGAACCGGTCTGGTCAAATAGATGAGAGCAGACAGCTAGTTGTAAAAATCTTCACAAAAGAGCTCAACAACCTCAGGAGTGCCAGTGGCATGTGACATGACAGAGAGGGAGAAGTGGGACAGGAACACAAAGATTCAAAATTCTCAGGTAGGAAGAAGCTGTGACTATGATATTCACCGTTGAACAAGCAAATGCAACCAGGAGGCAGAAGTAAACACACAAACCACTTAGTATTTTGAAACATTCTGGAGTGAGTGAGCTTTACCGAGCTCTGAGGTTTTGCTTCAGAGCTCTGAGGATACATGTTAAAAATAAACAAACTTTGTCATTATGAAGTTGCTATAGCATCTTGCTGCTCCCACTGATGAGCGTGCTGTCTAGAATATATTTTGTGCTCAATAGCTTTCATGTAGGATTTACAACAGCTGAAATCCATACTTGTTAGCAAGCACAGACAGGAATCTGCCACACTGAAGAAGAGTTGAGAGTCCAAGTCAATTCATAATTCCCTCAGGAACCGTCCGCTCCAGAAAGCTGCCCTCCTGGCAGAGCAGAGAAGCCTTTGCAAACCTTTTGCTAGGCTTTGATTAGCAGCAAGGCTGAATTAAGGTTGTAGGAGTCTGTTAATGACTCCTGCTTGGTCTCCCACACAGAAATTTGAGAAAACTAAACAGGCTTTTGCCTCATTTGTCAGCAATGAATCAAATGGGTTAAACAGTATTTTACTGAAGGGAGAAGGGGTCAATTGGAAGATAAACTGGATCATCTACAGAAACTACGTATTCCTTTTCAAAAGTGCAGCCAAAGCTATTTAAATCAATCTTTTTGTTTACTGCTGAGACAACTGCTAGGGCAGCTGTCTGCTCCCCACCTCCGTCAATACTAGCTCATTCACAGCTTGTAGCGGTTAAGACCCAGGGTTAGACAGATAAGATGTGCCTATTCTGCACAGTTGTAAGGTCTCACCCCAGCCACAGTTGACCCTGTAATGTGAGCTGCCCCACTACCTAGCTGCACTAGCTATCCGTTCCTGCTATGCTCTTCTAGCTGAGAGCAGTTAATGCTGCCAGGTCCCATTCCCCAGCTACCCTCTCTCTTTACCAAGTATCTTTACCAGTATCCATCTGGCATACTGGGCCACACAAAGCTCTTAACAGTCAAGCAAACTTTTTAAACAGATTCTCCTATCCTAGCTTTTCCATCTTGTGCTTTTGCACCTCACAATTGCACGTCTTATTTCCTCCCATTTATAGCACATCTACCTTTTCAACAAGAACACCCCAGATACAGTGAAACATGAAATACCAAGCAAGTGTATTTTAGACTTGCCCATTGGTTCTTTTCATTCATTGCCCCTTCCCTTTGCTAGCTGTCAACAAAGCACTCTGCTGTATTCAGGATTGCACCCCTCTGAAGTTTTGGGGAGAAAAGCTGCTCATCTCTTTTAGGCAGCATGCTGATACTTGGGAGTGAAATGGAAGCTCACACAACTGAATTGGCCGCAGCTTTTCCACACATCCTCTTTTATTAGTTTATGTAATTATTTGCAAGAAACGGTGTCAGTGCCCAGTATTCTGCCCCTCTGCTCTGTACCATTTGCTTCCTTCTCTTTTACTGTAAAGACTATCATTACAGTTTGATTTCCCCCCTTCCTTTAGCAGCTGGAGGGGTTATGAGAGCCTCCCTGCAGTTTGGTCTCAGGCTGCAGCTACCGGAGACTCCGTCTCCTGACTCAGCATAAAGAAGGGCTTGTTCCTGTTCCAAAGCACAGCTTCATGACCTGCAAAAATCTCCTCGATTTGGATGGACCTGTGGTAGACAGGAATCATAGTCGAACAAGCTCAGAGGATGAAATGGCACTGTAGTAAGATAGCTCTTACCGTATTAAGTATTAGTATTGCAAAGGTCCTGTGCACGCCGGTTAAGTAGCCTCTGAAGGTAAATCTTAATTTTGTGCAGGTTCTTGGAGAGACAAAGAGAAAAAGCACAGAACAGTATCCAACAAAATAGTCTTGTAACTCAGCAGAACAAGCAGTATGTAGATTTAATTAACTCCTTGGCACTGTCAGTTGTGGCATATCCTGTTGTCATCCACGGGCAGCACACCAAGAAAGCCTGGCTGTTTGGCATCTAGAGGGCTACAGATGGCTGGTAAAACTTCTGTCTGTTCTTGTTTACAGCCAATTTCTGGAGTGCAACAACAAGTGGCGAGACAAGCAAAGGCTTTCCTTTCCCTGGGAAGGATGGCAGAAGTGCAGGTCAGCAGACGGAAATCCAGTGGAGAGAAGTCATGGCTGTGGTTTGCTACAGTGAAGTCTCTGATTGGAAAAGGGGTGATGCTCGCTGTCAATCAAGGCAAAGTGCAAACAAACGTGCTCAATATTGCAAATGAGGACTGCATAAAAGTGGCAGCTGTTCTGAACAACGCCTACTACCTAGAAAACTTGCATTTCACCGTTGAGGGAAAGGACACGCACTATTTTATCAAGACCACCTCCCCCGAGAGTGACCTTGGGACACTGAGGCTGACAAGTGGGCGGAAGGCCCTGGAGAATGGCATTAATGTCACTGTTTCCCAGTCGACCACTGTGGTAAATGGCAGGACTCGCAGGTTTGCTGATGTTGAAATGCAATACGGTGCTTTAGCGCTTCACGTCCGCTATGGCATGACACTTGATGAGGAGAAGGCCCGAATACTGGAGCAAGCCAGGCAACGAGCTCTTTCCAGTGCCTGGGCCAGAGAACAACAGAGAGTAAGAGATGGAGAGGAAGGCGCCAGGTTGTGGACAGAAGGAGAAAAGAGGCAGTTGCTAAGTGCTGGAAAGGTACAAGGATACGATGGGTACTATGTACTCTCTGTGGAGCAATATCCAGAATTAGCAGACAGCGCTAACAATATACAGTTCCTCAGACAAAGTGAGATAGGAAAGAGGTAACACACTGGCTTAGCTCAGGCTGCCAAAGAGACTGTGTACCAGTGTCTTCTAAAAAGGAGACCAAACTGTTTTGCTGCATTACTACTTGAGCCTAAGCTTACATCTTTGCTCAGATTTTTTCTGTAGCACAATCCGAACAGACTCTGTGACGAAAAGAGCGCCTTCCAGAAGAATTATACTGCTAATGACAAAACTTTTTTTTTTCTCAATGACCTTAAAGGTGATCTGCTTTAAAGAATATGTTTACATATGCATATCGCTGCACTCGGACTGAAAAGTATTAAAAAAAAAAAGAAGAAAAAAAGAAAATAAAAAGGCCTACAGATTTTGCAACAGGCTGTCTGTTCCTTTGAGGCACTGTATTTAATTAAGATACAGACCCATACAGTGTTTCCAAATATTACTGAATTGTTGACCTTTGCTTACAAGAAGTAGTCTCTCTCTCTTTCTCTCTCTCTCTCTTTCTCTCCCTTTCTCACTGCATAGGATGTGGTATATATCTGTTAATTTTAAAACGTGGGGCAAAAATTACTGTTTATAGACAACCCAACTGCTTTAAACTGTGCTGCTTTCTAAAAGGACATTGGCACAAGTGACTTATGCTACTATGGGAATTTAATAATGGATTTTACAATGCTAACATGGTTTGCCTTGGGGGGAAAATGGCAAGTAGAATCTTTGTTGCAGATAAGCAAAGGAAACCCTGATTTTTTTGTAAATTATGTGAGACAAGTTGTTTATGGATTTTTATATGAATTACAATTTACTGTACATCAAATATTAGCCTCAGAGGAGTTAATTTATGTAAAGTGTTTAAAAAAGTTTATACTTAAAAATAAAATGATAAAAACATGTGCTGTGTGTGATTTTTTTAAAGAAAAAGGAATTGCACCTTTTATGTTATAGCTGTACAGTATAAAGGATTATATTGTAGAGATATAACAGTGATGACTAATGTCCAAAAGTGTTAATATTTTTGTATTAGGTTTAAAGCTGTGCATCTATCACTCTGCTGATAGGATGGGACACTCCAAAGTGGCTGGCTGAATCAGACCGCAGCTCCCCCCCTCCCGTACCTCTCCTGTCACCCAGGCCAGTGCCACTTCATCAGTCATTGTTAGAAGGCACAGTAACCAAATAAGTCTTGTTTATTATGATGGAAGACTTTAATAGGTTGGGTTTTCCTTGTCTTTTTCCAGCCCTAATGTAATAAATGGACATTTATTCATACCAGGTGGGGTTTCTGTTGTTTTTTTAGAAGCTTTGTTTCACAATGGAGAGAATAGTGTCTCAGGTGCTTGGCAAATTGTATGTAGAAGAAGAAGAAGAAATGATGTAGTTTCATCCAGTTATGTCAACTTTGTCTTCTGTATAATACAGCTCTTTTAGATGTTATAACTCCAGATAGAAGAAGCGTACCTCTGACCTGATGCTACAGAATTGCTCTTTAGGCAGGCAGGCTCTTCAGTAGGTTCATCTCCTGGCCTTGAGCTGGCAGATCAAATCCCATTACTGTGAACACTGAACCTGGGGATGGAGGCAAAGGTCCAATTCTAGTGCCTAGTCTGCATCTCCACACCACTGCATAGATTTGGCATGCTCTGCTCCAAGGCCCAGTATATTTGCTGCAGGACAGAACTGAAGTGTGCAGCTGGTTCCTTATAGGAAGCCTGTGGTGGCATCTATGGCATCTGTTCTACATCTTGGCTGAAACCATTCTTAGAGCTTTACTCTCATGAGCACTAAATTCAGCCACAAAAATCAATATTTTTAAGATGAGACAAAATTGGGGTTTTTTGATGTTCATTGAAATATACACAGTATTTCTATCCATGTATTATAATGACAAAACATAGTAAGTGAACGTGTCTTAACTATGAATGGTTCAAGTGGATGTAATAAAAATAGTTTTCTAACTGCTTTGTATTCTGAGAGTCTATGGTATTACATACTCTAAATTGCACATTAGGATTGTTTGATAAACAGATTTGAATTTCTCCCAGCCAAGTCACTACCGAATCTACAGTATCAGTGCTATTACTGTATGTGTGTATTTGGTAGAGCATACAGAACTAATTACACATATAATGAATGCTAATCATCTATTAGAATGAAAGCACAGATTAGTTGTTAGTATTCTTACCCTTGAAGTCTTGAGGGCCCTAAATTTAGAGAGGATGATATGTCAGACCCCAGAGGCATGTCATTGATCTCCGTATTCTTTTTAAAGATGTAAAATGCTAGGTGTTTGCAGTTCTGTTGGGTGGCTCTTCCACAGCACTGTATTTAGCATGCTGTAAGTGCTCTCTGTTGAAATAGGCTCATATTCTAAATTATGTCAAATGTTTCTGTTCTGTTTGAATATGAAAAGCTTGTATAACATGTCAACAATGAAATATATCTTCTACTTGACGCGTACCAGTTCCTTCTCCTTTGTTCTGGCACCAATAAACAACAAATTATAGTATCGGTTGGTGATCATTTTAGATAAAGTCAAATCAAGCCAATTAGTGGCCTTGTTAGTAGGTATAATGAGCCTATTTCTTGCTAAAAAAGACTTGTGATCTGGACGTGCTCCTGCAGGAAATAGTGACCTTGGGGAATATATAAACAAAAGATCTTTTTAAAGAAAAAATATGTATAATTAAAAGAAGGATATTACAAAAAAGAAAAAAAGGAGATTCTAAGTATTTTAGGCAATGCCAGTCAAAATGCTATCCTGATATTTTGAGATGTATATTTCGTCTGATTTGTATTGTTCTTTTAATTTGCCTTCTTAACTTTATATGTGTCCTGAATTTTCCACAAATTGGTAACTATAGATTGCATCTAGGCTTTCCAATAAAAGCCAACCCAATGTGTGTGTGTGTGTGTGTTTATATTTGTTTTTTAAATCTGTATGTCAGATACTGCATATGTGCTATTGCTTTTCTCGTCATAACAGAAGCAGCAAACTGATCCAGTTGCACTGGTATTGATTAATTTGATTCATTTGCTTCACAGTTGGCAGTATCTTTTTTGCCTCTATCCAATGGCCTTGTCTGCTAACTCAGCAAAGTGAATTACTCCATGGGATCTCTCAGGTGGCCTATTTTAGAGAAAACATTAAATATACCTCACAAAGCAAAATCTTTTATAGATAAGGAAAAGCCAAAGAACAAAAAATAAAAATCACTCAGAAATGTTTTCTCTCATGTCCTCCTGAGTAAAAATACGACAAAAAGTATTTGATTATAAATAATTAGGTTGGCACTGGTAGTTACAAATATACACAGAAGAGATCCTTCAATCTGCATTTAGACCCACTTTGCAGAAACTGCTGACTTCAGCACTGCTATGTGTCAAGAGACTGCTTTGATTTTAGTTGGAACAGGCAGGCTTCAACACACTTACTTTGTAGTGACAACCTCGAGTTGATAACATGTTGATCCAGCACGAATCAGGTCACTCTGCTTAGCTAACTGTGGCCTAATTCTGTTATTAAAAAAAAGAAAAAAAAAGAGCCAGTAAGAGAGCTTTGTATGTTCACACTTGGGAGGTGAGATTTGCATTTGACAAGGGGAAAAAAAAATGCCCGTTACCACTGCCACTCTTCAGAGGCACTTTTAAAGTGATGGCTGAAAGACTGTAAAAGAAAAAACACTGCATAAAATAACAGTTTAAAATGATTGCCTATGAGAGAATAGGCTGCATTTGCAGAGAATCCGAGATGACAAATGTTTGAATTTTGTTTTCAGAAAAAAAAAAGAAAAATCTTCTAGAAGTGTTAATACCTTGGTTTACGGCTAACTCCAGAATGGCAAGCTACAGCTATACATATGGGCAGCTTGAGAACCTTTAAAAAAAAAAGACGAAGAGACTAGTGTGTAATTCTTCAGGGATGGGAAACACAAAGTAAAGACACTTATTAGAAACAGCTTCTAAGCAGCTTATTAGAAGCTGCTTATTTGACACTTATTAGAAGCTGCCAGGGTTAAAAATAAGCCAAAGCAGAGAGCATCACACAGCATAAACTGAACAGCACAGGCACAGTGAAATCATACCCCTAACAGCAAAGCCACATCCAAATCAACCAGACTGATGAGCTTCTCATCTACAGCCAATTAGTGCTAAGGACTAAATATGCAATGCTTATAAAATTAAATTGATCTTTGACTGCACACACAAGTTGCTGGGGCTCAGTGAGCCAAAAAAAAAAGCCAAAATGAAACCCAGTTAATTGATGGGTAGGTGCCAATTTTTTTCCCCCTGGGAAAAAAAGGAACACATGGTCTATAGCTGTCATGCTGACAGACAGAGCTTAGGACTTCAGTTTTACCTCTGAAGTTTTTAGCTTTGTGGCAGAGTGACCATATGAGGCAAATTTACTTGTGTGAGTGCCTAGGCTAGACCTACAAAAAAAGTCAAAACACTAATAACAGATAAAGACCTGCTCCTCCCCCCCAGCCCATTTTTCAAGAGGAGTAACATAAATAAGGATGATGCCAGTGCTTATTTAAGTGGACCACCAAAATCTGAAAAAATGCAGCTTGTCTGTTCATCCATCCCAGAAACCTGAATATTTGTTGCAGATCACTAAAACTGTCTTAGGCCTTTCAGGGTGAAAAGATGGTGGAAAGGTTTGTTTCTCAGACCATCTCCTAATCACAAGATACAATACTGGCTATTGCAGTTGGGACTGTGAGGGTGACAGAGGAACAAGAACATGCTGTCTGACGCTTGGGCGCAGTCTGTCCTGCTTTAGTAAGGGGATGTGCTGGGGATGGCAGGGGAGGGAGAGGGAAAGGGGGGAGGCCTGTCATTAGGTGGTCTAAAATGCAACAACGAGAGTGAAGTCACACAGTATTGCACAAATACTGGCATGAGGATTATCTTCACTGCACTATTCTTTGCACACATGCCTTAAAAAAAGATTAGAAAAAAACCAAACATATCCTGGCCTAATTTCTAGCATCACAAATGCATACAATTCTGAGCTGTGCAAGGATGCCATAAAATGCATCCCTAAATAAGGATGAATATGCTAAATACTGCTCCCCACTTCAAAACAAAACAAGCTAAACAGCAACACCATCCCTTTCTTTAAGTACCTAAGAGTCTTACATGCAATTTGGAAAGTGAAGAACCAGCGCAGTAACGTGGCAGCTCATTAGAGTGTCATGTTTTCACAGAACCTATTTTATTGCATTTAGTAGTTCTGCAGGTAAACTCTCTTGCTGTTAATTACTATAACCTCCTAGGTAAATTGAGTAATCCTTTTAATTTACTAAGTTAAAATTCTGTCATTGAGGAATATAAATTTCTAGAGACGCATGCATTTTTTTTCCTACTATAAACTAAGTCAAAGCTCATAGTAACGTAATTATGCAGCTTAGAGTTAATGGTTCCCACAAAGCTGTCTTAATAAAGCCTTTTGGGATTCAGGAGGAAAAGGAGGAAATTCAGAAACTAAGAACAGGGCTGGAAGGCGACAACGTGTTTCAACTGGCTCTAGTTACTCAATCACACTTAAGCTGTCTGAGACAGCAGGGAGAGCACCATGCATTAGAGAGGCACGTGGGAAATTGTTATCCCAGTGCAATGAAGTATTTCCACATTCCAAACCCAGGAATCATTTTAAAACTGAAATTACAGGAATGGCTATCTAATGAACTAATTAACCTTACATCAGTTAAAAAAAAAAAAAAAACATACAGGGAAAGCTAATGAAGGAATGAGTTAAGAATTCAAATCTGAGAGTAACTATAGGCATGTGATGCTGTAGAAAAGTCCATCCAGTGTTTGCTGACAAGAACTACTAGGGGAAAAAATGGGATGGGGGAGCTGGGGGTGTACAAGACCATAACACTAGG